AAACATTCCTAGATACCTGGTTGATACCTGGTTGATACCTGGTTGATGGGGTTCTGGGAGTTCTTCTACTCCCCAAGCCCTGCCGCCCGAGGCCAGACTTGACTTGTGAGAGTTTGGTCCACCAGGCTGTTCTTTGCAGCGACAAGGACGATTACAGCACATATACGAACTCTATTAGGCCTCAAATATCGAACATATTAGGCCAAGGATTGCAAAATTAACTCCTATGCCATTTAGACTAACTCAGTAATACAGAACGTGACTTGGTTGGGTCTAACGGTACATTTGCGAGCGTTCTGGCATAATAGTTGCTAAAACAAATATCATTATTGCAGGATAATCTGACATTTGTGTCAAATTAGAAATGTTGACATATTTAAAAATATTAAGTTTACCATTTTTTACAGTTTGAATGGTGATATATATGTACTCACCTAATTGTGCTTGCGGGGGTTGAGCTTTGGCTCTTTGGTCCCGCCTCTCGACTGTCAATCAACTGGTGTACAGATTCCTGAGCCTACTGGGCTCTATCATATCTACATTTGAAACTGTGTATGGAGTCAGTCTCAACCACATCACTTCCTAGTGTATTCCATTTATTAACTACTCTGACACTGAAAAAATTCTTTCTAACGTCCCTGTGGCTCATCTGGGTACTAAAGTTTCAACCTGTGTCCCCTTGTTCGTGTCCCTCCCGTGCTGAAGAGTTTGTCTTTGTCCACCCTGTCAATTCCCCTGAGAATTTTGTAGGTAGTTATCATGTCTCATGATAATCATGGCAGTATCATGGTATTATCTCCATGATATTATCCAGTATTATCATACTGGATAATATCAGCATATACCAGTATTATCTCCATGATAATCATGGAGTTATCATAGCAGTATGTGTAGTAGTTGTGGTAGTTGATAACTCACAATCGACTTGAGAATGGTCCAGGACGGACCGAAACGTCGTCGTCCCTTCACTTTTTAGTGTGTGGTCTGGTCAACATACTTCAGCCACGTTATTGTGACTCCTCGTCTGCAGTAGTGGTAGTAATGTTAACAGTAGTAATACTGTCAACAGTAGTAATGACAACAGTAGTAATGACAACAGTAATAATGTCAACAGTAATAATGACAACAGTAGTAGTAATGACAACAATGCTTACATCACAAGCGAACAATTTGTGAAATAAAGCATCAGAATTTGTAACGTACCAATGCAACTGTTAAATCTTATTATAATATTAACGGCTGCATGAACTGGGCCGCTGACGGCTGTAAGGGCCACTCTACAAATTACCTGCTAACAGTTTCAGTTAGGTTCCTGACCGTCTAAAGTCTACCGTCCTTATGGTGTAAGTTAACGTTAATTAAGAGACAGACCCCAGGCAGACACAGGTAAACAAGTTGGAGGAAAGAACACAAATTATTTGCGCAGAACAATTTGCATAGACTAATTAGGTCAAGAAATATAAGGGCTTTATATTATACTAATTGCTTTTTGCTGTGGACAGGCTTGTGAGAGCGGTTGTGGTTGTGGTTGTGAGCCGCCTGTGTTACTCTGTTACTCTGTGTATGTCTGTCTTAGTCTTGGAATCACATCCATTCCAAAATCTTGTTTATTAAATTTTAAATTTTGCCCCGAGGGGCGAGTTTATTGGGCAGCGCCACTCATCTTCTTTATCTTTCCGAATCCTGAATATATAAAGTTGTTGTCCTCTTATTGTGTAGATTCTTTCATGGCACCTTTCCCATTTTCATGATCTTGCACTTGTTGGGGGTTGAAGTCTAAGAGCCTTTTGACTTGTTTGGGTTTTGCTGTGTTTAAAGTCGTCCTCGGTTGTGCTGGACCTGGGGGAGATGGTCCTGTACTTGGCAACGCTCACCCTAACAGTGACTAGTGACTACTAGCCTTGTACCTATCGCGTTCGGTGCAGGTAGAGGTGATGATGGTGGTGGTTGTGGTGGTATGGGGGTGGTGGTGGTGGACGGCTGCGTGACGTACTTCCTGCACTTGCTGGGCATGAATGAGTCTAGGCATAGTTGGCAACCCCGCCTCCCCCCCCCCCCCCTTGCACTAACCGCTGCCAACTGGGGCCATTTTCCCCTTCCAAGTACACTTTTAACTTAACGGTGCGGAATCTGTTTATCCTGTGATGTATTTAGAGATAAAACTCTTGGGTGAGTAGGCTGACCCCAAGGGTGTCGATTGGATTACCGTCTCCTTTACTGAGTCATATAGAGGGAGGAGAGCCCAGGTGTTGGAGGGAGGTGGTGTTTATGGTGGCAGAGAGCGCGGTGCCAGAGGCAGTCAAGTGAGCACCCGGCGCTCACACTCACTCACTCATGCGCTTTCTCAAGGTATAAAACACCGGAACATCACTTCGCGTTTGCCGGAAGCTGCAACAAACAAGCAGGAGTGAGAGCAGGTCCGCCCGCCCTAGTGATGACACTGTGGGCGGGGGTGGAGGGTGGGTCCGCCCGCCCTAGTGATGACACTGTGGGCGGGGGTGGAGGGTGGGTCCGCCCGCCCTAGTGATGACACTGTGGGCGGGGGTGGAGGGTGGGTCCGCCCGCCCTAGTGATGACACTGTGGGCGGGGGTGGAGGGTGGGTCCGCCCGCCCTAGTGATGACACTGTGGGCGGGGGTGGAGGGTGGGTCCGCCCGCCCTAGTGATGACACTGTGGGCGGGGGTGGAGGGTGGGTCCGCCCGCCCTAGTGATGACACTGTGGGCGGGGGTGGAGGGTGGGTCCGCCCGCCCTAGTGATGACACTGTGGGCGGGGGTGGAGGGTGGGTCCGCCCGCCCTAGTGATGACACTGTGGGCGGGGGTGGAGGGTGGGTCCGCCCGCCCTAGTGATGACACTGTGGGCGGGGGTGGAGGGTGGGTCCGCCCGCCCTAGTGATGACACTGTGGGCGGGGGTGGAGGGTGGGTCCGCCCGCCCTAGTGATGACACTGTGGGCGGGGGGGAGGGTGGGTCCGCCCGCCCTAGTGATGACACTGTGGGCGGGGGTGGAGGGTGGGTCCGCCCGCCCTAGTGATGACACTGTGGGCGGGGGTGGAGGGTGGGTCCGCCCGCCCTAGTGATGACACTGTGGGCGGGGGTGGAGGGTGGGTCCGCCCGCCCTAGTGATGACACTGTGGGCGGGGGTGGAGGGTGGGTCCGCCCGCCCTAGTGATGACACTGTGGGCGGGGGTGGAGGGTGGGTCCGCCCGCCCTAGTGATGACACTGTGGGCGGGGGTGGATGGTGGGTCCGCCCGCCCTAGTGATGACACTGTGGGCGGGGGTGGAGGGTGGGTCCGCCCGCCCTAGTGATGACACTGTGGGCGGGGGTGGATGGTGGGTCCGCCCGCCCTAGTGATGACACTGTTTATGCCTAAGTATCCATTAGGAATATGAAACGAAAATTCCGAACGTGTTCGAATTCCACCATATTATCAAGGAAATGCAGCATTTCTTTGATAATGTGGTGGAACTCGAACACGTTCGGAATTTTCGTTTCATTTTTATAGATACTTTATATATATATATATATATATATATATATATATATATATATATATATATATATATATATATATATATATATATATATATATATATATATATATATATATATATATATATATATATATATATATATATATATATATATATATATTACTCCTCTGATGATAAACTTCACTTTGTGTTTACAATATATCATCTTTCAAACTGTAAGCTAAATGCCACTCACTTTATGCCTGAAATGTAAGTCTGATTTAAAGAGTGCTATACGTCTGTTTAGTCCTGCCAGTGTTGTAAGACTTGTGTAGCTTCTTAAGAATATTGCTTCTTGTCCTGATAATGACAAGGTCTGCGTGTTCTGTTCTTGTTGTCACTCATGTTATTAATGTACTGTACTTTGTATGGAAACTTGACCAATTATAAGTGTACAGTTATTTTTAAATAAAGTGTTTTATTTGATTTAATTTGACACGGTCCTCAGTCAGCCCAGGCATCCACCCCTGCCATTACTCTCCCAGCCCCTCCCTCACCCCTGCCATTACTCTCCCAGCCCCTCCCTCACCCCTGCCATTACGGTGTTGGCCTCTCACCCCGTCTCTCACCGCATGCTCCCTGTACCAAGCATAGCTTTAAATGCTATCCTAAGATAGTCCTCGATAATTCAAACTTCCTGACTGTGTATTGTGCGTCAGTACTATAGCTTGTGTCTTCCTACGAGCTGCCACACGTCTTGTCTACACCCACTGGCCATACACGTAGCTTAGATCTACTACCCATACCTGTGGCCAACCACTTGGGCTGGACGGTAGAGCTGCCACACGTCTTGTCTACACCCACTGGCCATACACGTAGCTTAGATCTACTACCCATACGTGTGGCCAACCACTTGGGCTGGACGGTAGAGCGACGGTCTCGCTTCATGCAGGTCCCTGTTCAATCCCTCACCGTCCAAGTGGTTGGGCACCATTCCTTTCCCCCCGTCCCATCCCAAATTCTTATGCTGACCCCTTCCAAGTGCTATATAGTCGTAATTGCTTGGCACTTCTGATAGTCCCCGTCCCCCCTTCCCTAACCCACACCTGTAGCTTAGATCTGCGGGTTAGATCGCAGAAGACTTTTTGAAGGCGTAAAATACCTCATACAATCACAATTAATCAATCTAGTTAATGTATTACATGTTTAATATATCAGTTAAAACATTTTATCGCTCGTGTAATTCAGATTTATGTTTGTATTGGCAAGTTTAAAGCCTTGAAGCTGAGCTAAGCGCGCTTTCCTGACCACGAACCGCAGTGAGCGGTTGTTCCCTTGTTCACGAGCATCAGCTGGTTTGTGTTCATTGAATCAGGAGCGTCAGCCGTTGTTCGTTACCTAATTAAGGAGAGTCAGTCGGGTTGACTTATCGACCAGAAAATTAGAAAGAGTTCCATCAGTGAGTTATTAGATAAAATTAACATAATATTAGTTTACATAAATGTAGAAGTGAGGGCATGTACTTACACGGTGTCGCTTGTGTGAGTGTCTGTGCTCTGAGTTATGGCGGTGCTCGTGGGGGGTGGGGTGTCGCACCTCCGTCCCCACCACCTGTGGGACTTGTGTCTGCTGATCCTGCTGCTGCTGCTGCTGCTGTCGGTGTTGCTGCCGTGGTTGGTGGTTCTGCTGTGCCAGAAGGCGTGCCGCCGCCGAGTAATAGTCCACTAGTTCCCGTTCATCCTCTGAGGTGAAGCCGCCCTCCCCGGAGAGCTTAGAGGGAGAGGAAACCGTCCGCTGGTGGATAGGAACAATAGGGAGTGGAGAGATAGTTCCTTCTCCGTCACTTTCCCAGGCGGGTCCCACGGGGGACGCTGCCCCGGGTTCCGTCTCCTCGCTCACTTTGCGACTCACTAATTCTGAGGAATTGGCGTAGTTTATCCTGATTACAGAGTCGTCGAGGGAGCGGGAAGTGGGAATAATGAGAGGAGGCCGCTCATCCCCAATTATAACAGCAGGGGAGGCGGGGGACGGTGGACGCGGCGAGCAGCTCTTGGCGTCCCTCACTGGTAGGTAAGTGTCCTCTGACAGGTAAGACGGACTCGACTTGGATTTGCTCATTTCCGCTTCGAGCATGAGGCCATACGGGCCTCGTAGTGGTCTCTTGGAATACCGTCGCGGGATGTGAGGACTCCGAGGGGCACTGCGCTCACCCGAGTCGCTGTCCTGCAGGTAAGGCGTTGGAGAGACATTTCTGGCGGGAGTGTGACATGGCGGATAGTCGGACCCGTCGCTCTCGTGGCCACTAAAGAGGACCTGAGGAGTGGTGACTCTGGGGGGACCCAATGAAGGGGGTTCCCCACGCTCGTCACGACCTTCAGAGTCCGTGGACGCCTGAGACACCACACCTTTGTTGGTGTGTCTATCCGGGTCTCCCTGAGTGGGCGTAGCTCCCAGGTGAGGCTGGCTCCGAAAGATGAGAGCGTCAGTGCTGCCTCGTCTCTCACAGCTGGGGTCGCTGTGATGCTTCTTCTTCCTCTCTGCTCGGTCCATTGGACGGGTTTCTGAGATAAGGAGGCGCTGGCGTGTGTCAGGTGACTGACTCGTCTCACTCAGGTAGCTGTCAGCGAGAGAGAAGGAGCTGCGCTGTTGTTCACTGCTGTGCAGATCCGCGAAACCTCGGGAGGTGGCGAGGCTTCGCAACCCGTTACTGTCCACCGAGGAATATCTAATGGAGTCACTGTGAGAGCTCTTCCTCTGGGGAGGAAACGTGAGAGACCTTTCATTATCGCCATCTGTTAGTTTGCGGCGGCGACGTGACCCTGACCTGACAGGACCGTCCTCGCGAGGAACAGAAACTGGAACAATACCTTCCTCGGAACGGTCCTGGCCGATTCCCATGCTGTCTTGAGACGAGGAGTCGGAAGAGTCACGTGGTTCATGACTCTTGATCTCTTCTTCAAAGATGCCCTCGTCGCTCACCTGCATGTGGTACATGCGCGAAGCTTCCCGCTCGCCGCTGTCGCCATCAGAGTCTTCCCGAGGGAGGCGAGGGCGAGACCTGACCACCCGGCACTCGGAGGTGGCGCCCTCCCCGCCCATGCTGTCGAGATGGCCACTGTCCCGCCCCCCGGACTTGATAACCAAACACTGCGAGAGTATTGGCTCCTTCTGCACCACCTGACACTCCACCTGCCGGTGATCTCCACACTGACTAGTCCCACTCTCTCCACTTTTAACTTTACTGTTTATTAACTCAGTACTTAGTCTCGAGTCCAGATGAGTGTGTTGGCTAGCACTGCTCAGCAGGGGCAGTACCCCAGCAAAGTCTTCCCCTGAAGTGCCCTGACGAAGTACAGCCGCCAGTTCGGGTGCGTGTCCTGGAGGAGCCAGTCCCCCAGGGGTGGGCATCTCCCCTCCCGGGGGAGTATCACCAGCCTCACCCTTACTACCCACTGTTCTTAGCGGTGCAGCCTCACCACTGCTCCTCATCACAAGTCCATTACAGCCTGCTTCTGCCGCTGTTCCTTGAGCAGCAGCCTTCTGCTGTAGGGCGACGCCTCTTGGTACTTCACTATCAGTTTTCAAGTCTTTTACCTGACGATCGTCACTTTGCTTGTGGTGTCCCCATGTAGGTGTTGCCTCACTCCCTGTCCTCCCCCCCAAACCCCCCTGCACCTCTTCATCACCAAGGGTAAACACTACTTTTTCTGGCTTCCTCTTTTCACACTCTAATACTACACAAGAACGTCTCTGCGCCTCACTTTCTACACTTCCTTTGTCAGTATTGAATATAAAATTAGCGAGTAACTGAGCGCGGGTTGAGCCCTCACCACCGTAGAGTGGTGAGGGCTGGTCGTTGAGCCTCATCACTCTAGCGTCTTCAGGATCTACACTAATATTCTTCACTTCATCAGAAAAACTTACTCTGTTCGATCTGCTTCCTTCTTTATCTTTCTTTTCTCCATTCTTATCTGTATTTTCTTCTCTCAGATCAATGTTTTTTTTATCTTCCTTATTGGTTGGATAATTTAATTCATTTATGCTGGTGTCTGGTTTGTTGGTATCATTGTTTGTAAGCTGCTGATGAGTTCTTTCTCTCTCATCACACTGTTGTCTGCCAGGCTCCGCGCTCTGTTTCACAGTGTCTTCGTTTTCCTTCTTGCCTTTGTTTACTCTTATTCCACCTGCATTTTTGGCTCCGCTTTCTTTCTCATCTGCGTCCTTGAGGCCGCCTTCTGAGGTGGCCAGGGCGTCCAGAGCGTCCACTTTCTTGGTAAGAAGGTTGTCCCTAAGGTGGGCTAGGCCTCCCTCGCCTCCCGTCAGCCCTGCCACAAACAACTCGCTTTCAGACTTAGATTTACTCTCCAGTTTTTCCGGTTGCGACAACCCCGACTTGGCACCGACGTTGGTCATGTCACTGACGGAGGCTGCGGTAGTGAGGTGTGGGAGGTGGTGGTTGGGCCCACCTGCGGCACCACCACCTTCCTTAGTGACGACTGCAGGCTTGCGCTTGGGGAGGGTGTTCGAGCCCCAGTAGTCCTTGCACAGCGGGTAAAGTCGGATAGCAGTTGGGGACTTCCCGCTGCGCAGGAAAAGCGCCCCGTCCGACGCCACGTCCACCTGCGACACAGACGCAGACCTAAAGGCAATGACTCTCGGTGGAATGACCAGACGAGCCTCTGGACGCGGCCGCGGGGGAAGCTTGACAGCTCCCTCGTTGAACACGTCCTCCCCCTCCTCCCGTTGCTCTCCAGCAGAAAGATCCTGCAGTGGGTCCTTCGGGGCAGGAGCCGGCGACAGTCTGAGGGCTCCTGCGTCCCTGGTTGAGGGAAGCTGCGGGGGAAGGCTGGGGCTCTTGCCCAGGGAAGGGTGACGAAGAGAGGCAGTGCGAGAGTCATTGCTGCGTTTCTTGTTCTTGCCTCGCAGGGGGGCGCCATCACCCTCGTCTGACACGCCTGTGTCCGGCGGAGGGGCCGAGTCCGCCCGAGCCTTTTTGTCAGGTGACGGAGTCTTCAGCCTTTCAGTACATTTCCGCAGCTCTTCCAGATGGTTCTGTCTAGACCTGGGTGGGCGTGCGGGAGGGGGTCCACGCCCCCCCTCTTTTCTGCCGCCCCCCAGTCTTCCGGTAGGGACGCCCAGTCGTAACCGGGCAAACTGGTGTGAGTAAATGTCCAAGTGAGGCTCCAGCTGATAGTTGTGAGAGCCTTGTGTTGCCCCCGCCGCGGGGCTGAGATCTGGTGACGTCACCGGCAGAGACCCCTCATCTGAGTGGCCGGGGGCGCCCCCCGGGGCCCCCGCCTGCTCTCTCTCTCTACGATAATCTAAGCCAGCATCAGACGGGAGCAGCGCGGCCCAACGTCGGTACAAATGGTCAGGTATTTCTGGTCTGGGCCTGACGGTCCTGCGGGCGGGGGTGGCGGCAGGGGGTATCACTGGCGCCAGGGGGGCCACACGGTCCCCATGACCGCTGCCCCCCGAGGCTACACTTCCGCCGTCTCCGCAGGGGAACACTGTACACTGCACGGCACTGGCGTGGGCATGACTGGGCGTGGCGGGCGGCTGAGCACTGCACTGGTCACTGTCGAGGTACGCACTGGCAGGCTCCTCCGGGATGGCGGGGCGCGCCGGGCCCGGGTAGCTAAACATAGTGGCGTGGCGGGGCAGCAGGTGTCGGGGGGACCGACCCGCCACACAACACGTATATTTAGCGGCAGGGGGAGGCAGACCGCCCTCCCTCACCTCCTGCAGCAGCGCCGCGCCTCCTACAGCAGCAGCAGGAGGAGGAGCCCCGCCCGTACCCTCTCCGTCCTCGTCACTACACCTGGCAAGGCTGAGGGTACCCAAGCCCCGCCTGCGGCTTATGGGCGAGCGCTCGGCCCCTTTCTCTGGGTGACTGTTGTCGCCTTGGGTCACCAGGATGGTGGCCTCGCTTCTGAAGGTGGCAACGTCAGCGGTAGAGTTGAGAGGCGGCGCAGGGCGCGGGTCGCCCCGCAGGGAGGGCCGCCCGCTTCCCTCGGGTGGTGGGTGGGGGGATAATTTTAGCGGGTCAGGAGGAGAGGTAGTCTTGGTGTACACGCCCGCGCCATCTGTTGGCGCCGCTCGCCATCTGCCACCCACATCGCTTTTCATATTGATGTTATTGTCACTGCCTCTATTATCACCATCCTGGGCAACGGTGGTGTCTTCCTCCTGAGGAATGGGTGCTACCCACGGCCTTGGCGAAGCATTGAAGCTTCGTCTGAGGGCATGTGGGCGCGGCGAGGCGGGAGGTAGCATGGATGTTGACGTCGGGACGGTGAGTGGCGCCCACCTGTTGAGGAGCGAGTGGGCCTCCTTCAGGTGGATGGGCGAGGGCCCCAGGCTTCGCAGGAGAGGATCGAGATGCGATCCACCCACGTCATGTCCATTGTCAACAAGTGGCTGTTGACTGCTGGGGACCAGAGCCACTCCTGCCCACCTTCCTGCCGGCCTCAGCAGGGGGTCTCCTCGGCGCTCCCAAGTCGCCCTCGGAACACCTCCTTGAGGGCAAGGTTCCACTCAAGGGCGCCAGACGCACGCCATAGCGCACTGACCCCACGCAGTACCCGGGCAAAGTTGTGACCTTGCTGCATGAGGAAGTGGTTGTCCCACCTGCCCGGCCCTCCATCACCTCTGTTGCTTGTCCTCGCCCTTCGTCACTGCTGTAGAGGTACAGAGATGGAAGGAAGAAGGCGCGCGATGCCGACAGGGTGACGCCGCCCAACTCCACCAGCCATACTCGTAGCGGCGGCAGCACTCAAGTGTGGGCCAGCGAGTCTCCTCACATGTCCGCGCCTCCCACAGACTCTCCTTCACACAGTATCCTGCACACTCGCACTCCTTCAAGGCGTCGTACCCTGCTCATGGCCCGGTCCTCTCCACACACATCACACAGGGTCACAGGGCGGGAAGGTGAGGCGTGCCGTTGGGGGCAGCGTGGCCCCCACCATACAGGGTAGTCCTAGGGCGGGGTGCGGGTGCCTCTGCTGCTACATGCTTACTTTGTCAGTGCAAACTGCAGCGATGATCTCTTCTGTTTGTATTTTGTCCTCACTTCACTCATACAGTATGTTGCTGCTTCCTGCGAATCCTAAGTGGGAGTCTTGAATATACTACAAACATACAAAGCCGTCTATACAGAAAATATTAAGATATATTGACTTATGACAGCATTGCAGCATCAACACAGTGCCTTTCAGTGAACTTTCCGAGCGCAAACTGTATCAAAGTCTTGGTTACAAAATAATAGGTGTGAGCGGCACTAATGTACTGACAGGTTACTTGATGATATACTTCAGCACCCTGTCGTCTGAGATGAAGTGGTGTCTGTCAGCCGTATGGCCGCATCGTGTCATTCACTCCAGAGCAAACAGCGTGAATGCGAGGACCTACATCACTGCCTTACTTTCTACACACGCCATACTACTTCTGCAGCATTTTTGGATTAGTCTTCCCCTACACCAAGCCTTCCAGGCAAGCTACAGTACATGTTGCAGTAGACAGAGATAGATTTATATGTGTGACAGACAGGTAGTTCTACAACAAGTCCAGTTTACTGGTAAGAATGTCAGGAGATCCGGGTACTCTAGAACAGGGTCCTGCAAGGCCAACTAGCTTAGTCCTGCTGTAGGTAGTAAGATTTTATTCTCAGGTTTGCAGAGTGCTTCAACAAGGTGTAGCAGGTGTGTCCCGTCGGGAGTAGGGGAGGGTTGCAGGTGTAGGAAGCCGCCTGGACTGGCTGCCTTTACCATGGATCACTACTTCGCTGAGATCGTCACGTCTCCCTGGTCACGTTTACCAGGTCACACACTACTTGCTAATTATATATATCTTTTTTAATATTCGCACAGTCCATCACAATTGGCTTTGCAATACTTTCAAAGTCAGCCAGGGATTTTTATACTTGTATTCTTTTGTTTTTATATAAGTACACCTATAAAGAAAGAGTAATGTGTTCATTGAATAGCCTATATATATATATACAAACACCACTTATAAAACCTTTTATGGCTTGATAGATCTTTAACGGCGAAGTACGTTGGCACAACGAAATTCTCACGAATCCACTTAAAATTAGGTTTGTTCAACAGCCCCCTTCCATTATTTACAGCCTAAGATGTTACTAATATGTATAATTACTTCTGTGCACAATATTTATGAAGGCCTTTAAGGTGATAATCACCCATCAGAAGAGGGGGGGGGGGGGTCACTAAACACTTTGCATTACGCATTTCTATTTTCAATCACATTTTTACTGGTGGGAAAGCCAAGCATGGCGTGGGTGGGGGAGCTCCTGCAGGAGTAACATTGAGAGGCACCTCGGAGGTGGTCCTGCGGGAGCCTCAACCCTTCCCTCTCACTCGGGACAGGCCAAGAAGCATGTTTGGGTGCCGTATGCACACATTTCATCACTGCACTATCCTACTACACACTCACACCCGCCAAATATTCCCGCACACAACACTTGAAGCACATCACACTCGCTGTGTACTAAGTCTCCTCACCGGCACACTCAAGTTACTCTTAAGTTGTGTGGGATATCAAACCTTATCCCATAGGAGACGTTATCCTGGGACGCTATCCCAGCATCCCTGCTTATCTAGACCAACGGGATATAAACTGGCCGAGCTCCTCAGGCCTCAGATAGGGTAACTCCACTCCACTTCACGATGAGAGTTGCCAACTTTGTCACAGGTGTCAGCGTTTTGGCACTTATTTTCTCAGGTGTTCGTTCAAATGGTATTCACCGTGAAGGCTTCAGAGTCGGTTAAGGAGTACAACATATTTTCAACATTGTGTAAAAGGTGGCAGTATTTACAGAGGGAAATTAAGTAATATACAGTGGTCTTCTTTTCGCAAAGTTCCGGGCACCTTTTCCCACCAAGATGTAGCGGCGTCAGACCAGTGCGTCTGGTCTACATTCATTTGTTTCACAAATTTTACTTCATATTATTCATAAAATATATTTCTTGCGGGTTAAAAATTAACGCTATCATTGATATTATTTAATATGTTGTTAGTTACAGCAAGAAGTCTCTGAGGATTAACAAACCCTCGTCAGACTTCAAGCGACACCCGGCAACGTTTCATTGAACCCCGAGTCGAATGGTTCTGGAAAGACTTCGCCTTCACTTATTTCAAGTTTTCACTAATTATTGCCTTTTACCCCCACGAAGAGTGTACGCAGGCAGTACAGTGCCACTTCTAATGTTTAACTAAGTCATTTGTCGAAGAAAATGAGAGATTTGCTGGGTGTGTCAACCTTGATGCCCTTAACACCCGAGCGCCACATATACAAGTTGATTATTCTCTCTCAACCACTTGCTTGTCTTTCTCTATCACCCAAGGAGAGTTCGCGGCTTGACAGCATTACATATATACATACTAATGGGCTTTCTCTAAATTGTACCAAATGGGTCTGAAATTGACAAATGAAAGGATAGCGAGAGCGTGTGCGGGCGGGTCTCGAACCTGGCCACTCAGCCCTCCCTTGTGTGCAAGTTGCCACACACCCTATTTCCCAACTCTCACAATCCCCCCATTACTCTATCACAAGTATCTTATTCCCATCTATTCCGCTATATGGACGCACGATATCTCACACTTGTTATCCCACCTCTGTCATGGCTGACACCGATCACTTAACCGGATCGGAAACAGGAGAAATATTGTGAAGAATAAGTCCGTCTGCCTCCACCACTCTCCCCCTCCCCCCCCTCCCTCACACACACCTTCTCCTGCTCTATCCCAGTCATTTGTTCCTTTGTATTAACGAGCGTGTCAAACAAGGCAGTTGGGACGAGAGTGCCATGGCATAACACCAGCGTGGCACCGTCTATAGTCTGGGCATCGCTTGCTTCACTACCTCGACCTACCATCAGTATACTGTACAAGTACGAGACCAGTGGGAGGGCGAGGCCGGAGCACGAGGCCAGTGAGAGGGCGAGGCCGGAGCACGAGACCAGTGGGAGGGCGAGGCCGGAGCACGAGGCCAGTGAGAGGGCGAGGCCGGAGCACGAGACCAGTGGGAGGGCGAGGCCGGAGCACGAGACCAGTGGGAGGGCGAGGCCGGAGCACGAGGCCAGTGAGAGGGCGAGGCCGGAGCACGAGGCCAGTGAGAGGGCGAGGCCGGAGCACGAGGCCAGTGAGAGGGCGAGGCCGGAGCACGAGGCCAGTGAGAGGGCGAGGCCGGAGCACGAGACCAGTGAGAGGGCGAGGCCGGTGCACGAGACCAGTGAGAGGGCGAGGCCGGAGCACGAGACCAGTGAGAGGGCGAGGCCGGAGCACGAGACCAGTGAGGGCGAGGCCGGAGCACGAGACCAGTGAGAGGGCGAGGCCGGAGCACGAGACCAGTGAGAGGGCGAGGCCGGAGCACGAGACCAGTGAGAGGGCGAGGCCGGAGCACGAGACCAGTGAGAGGGCGAGGCCGGAGCACGAGACCAGTGAGAGGGCGAGGCCGGTGCACGAGACCAGTGAGAGGGCGAGGCCGGTGCACGAGACCAGTGAGAGGGCGAGGCCGGTGCACGAGACCAGTGAGAGGGCGAGGCCGGAGCACGAGACCAGTGAGAGGGCGAGGCCGGAGCACGAGACCAGTGAGAGGGCGAGGCCGGAGCACGAGACCAGTGAGAGGGCGAGGCCGGAGCACGAGACCAGTGAGAGGGCGAGGCCGGAGCACGAGACCAGTGAGAGGGCGAGGCCGGAGCACGAGACCGAGGGCGAGGCCGGAGCACGAGACCAGTGAGGGCGAGGCCGGAGCACGAGACCAGTGAGAGGGCGAGGCCGGAGCACGAGACCAGTGAGGGCGAGGCCGGAGCACGAGACCAGTGAGAGGGCGAGGCCGGAGCACGAGACCAGTGAGAGGGCGAGGCCGGAGCACGAGACCAGTGAGAGGGCGAGGCCGGAGCACGAGACCAGTGAGAGGGCGAGGCCGGAGCACGAGACCAGTGAGAGGGCGAGGCGGGTGCTCATAGTTTCTAGGGTGTGAGGGTACGGCCTCTGACCTTGTGTGAGGCGATAACATCCCTTGTCCGCCACCATGTTAGTATAGGGACAGGTTGGTCAAGATTACGGGCTATTCATGCCCGTGCCACCTCTTGAGTGGCTTAATCTTCATCAATCAATCAATAGTCAAGATGAGGAGTTGTTGACGGGTTTGACGATAGCAAGACTCACGATCCAAGAAATATGTGTAAGATCGCCACATAAATATTTTAATGTTTCAAAGCTAACTCTCTCTCTCTCTCTCTCTCTCTCTCTCTCTCTCTCTCTCTCTCTCTCTTTCTCTTTCTCTTTCTCTTTCTCTCTCTCTCTCTCTCTCTCTCTCTCTCTCTCTCTCTCTCTCTCTCTCTCTCTCTCTCTCTCTCTCTCCCTCCCCCCTCCCTACCCACACTACTGCAGGTGGACAGTAATCAGGAAGTACTGCAATGTATAGGTAAAGAACAGTTGCCACTAACGGAGGAGGAGGGGATAATTCCAGTCATAGTTATTGATGCAATATGATATGATAAGGCACAGGAGTGCTGCGAATCAATGCACTAGGAAATCGACGGCCAGATTAGTCGTGGCCCAGGAGCTGGAGCTGTTCCCACAAACATAGAGGTAAGTATAAATATGTAAGAACACACACGCACTAGAAGGCGCAGCTGTCAGCAGTTCTCTTGGTGAGCTTTACATAGTATATGGTGAAATATGAGGTCCAGAGAGGCAGCGGACGGGCCCTGCTGATCGGTGCTGGCTGTCAGGTCACCAATATTCCTCCTCCAAGTACTGATCTCGTGGCTGGGAATTAATTATATTCTCTCTTCACGCCTTCCGCCTGCAAGTGAAGCAACAGAGTACGAGATTATTTTGTTGTCTCATATTATAGAAAAGTTTGAGTGAATGATGGGAGTGTTTACATTATAGAGTGCGGACATTGAGGTGATGCCACTTGTCTCAACAATGGGTCCTGTCTTGGATCACCTTCCTCCACTCTTGCTCTGCTCAAACTCCTTCACTTATGCAGGGAAGGTTTTTTAAACAAACAAGAATGTGTTTGTTTTAACTTTAGTATGTTTTCAGTGTGTGTACCTGGAAGGTGACTCCTGTGTGTGTGTGTGTGTGTGTGTGTGTGTGTGTGTGTGTGTGTGTGTGTGTGTGTGTGTGTGTGTGTGTGTGTGTGTGTGTGTGCGCGCGCGTGTGTGTGTGCGCGCGCGCGTGTGCATGCGTGTGCGTGTGTGCATGCGCGCGCGCCTGGAAGGTGTTGATCACTCGCTGATAGCTGCTTGGCTTCATGGGTCGCCTGCCTCACACCACACCACCAACGAGTCAATTACTGTGTAGTTTGGCGTGTCTGGTGTGAGCCTGTGTTTGTCTTACGGGCTCACCATAGACCGTGATACTTGGAACTTTGTTCTAGGTAGCGAATCTTTAACAACAACAACAACAAATGGGGTTTGTCACTGTGGAAACTTTTCTTACTTTGAAACCAATCAAGAGAGTAAGTCAACAAGAACGTTGTTGGGTATATTAGATGAAAGTCTACAATAAAGTGATTGTACATCAGAGCAAAAATGATAAAGTTAGCCTCAAATTTCCTTCATGGGTGTGGTGGGAGGCAGTGTTCCTGGCCTAGGACGCTAGGTAGGTCTTGTGTCGTGTTCCAGGATACGTCTGCATTTCTTAATTATGTCGTTATCACACCTCAATGGTACTTCTTTCTCTGAGCTCTGATTTGTTTATTTTACACATGTGAATATGTATATGAGATGTATATATCTCAAAAAAAAAATGTGGGTATGAGAGTAGACGACTTCTGACTCTTGTTAGCAGACTGAGAGCTTTACTCTCTGATAGCTCATGGTAAACCCTTACCCCTCTAGTTTCCCTTAGAACCGACCCGTCAATCGGTTAACAACCAATTAGTACTCAATTACTGCTGGGTGAACAGGGGCGAACAGTTAAGGAATGGTGCCCAGTCAAACGTTCCTGATTAGGACTCGAACTCTGACCACTTTATGATAACTCTACACTGTATGCAGACTGTTTCTCTCCTACTCTAGTGTATTATGGTCTGCTCTACACTTATATAAAAGCCCCGTTCATCTTATTGAGTCTTAATTACAAGTATGCTTAAGCAGGCGATGAGTCACAATAACGTGGCTAAAGTATGTCGACCAGACCACACACTAGAAGGTGAAGGGACGACGACGTTTCGGTCCGTCCTGGACCACAATCAAGTCGATTGTCGACTTGATTGTGGTAGTGGACCCCATACCCATCCTGTCAGTGGTAGTGGACCCCATACGCATCCTGTCAGTGGTAGTGGACCCCCATACCCATCCTGTCAGTGGTAGTGGGCTCCATACCCATCCTGTCAGTGGTAGTGGACCCCATACCCATCCTGTCAGTGGTAGTGGACCCCATACCCATCCTGTCAGTGGTAGTGGGCCCCACAGTGGTAGTGGACCCCCATATCCATCCTGTCAGTGGTAGTGGGCCCCATACCCATCCTGTCAGTGGTAGTGGGCCCCATACCCATCCTGTCAGTGGTAGTGGACCCCCATATCCATCCTGTCAGTGATAGTGGACCCCATACCCATCCTGTCAGTGGTAGTGAACCCCATACCCATCCTGTCAGTGGTAGTGGGCCCCATACCCATCCTGTCAGTGGTAGTGGACCCCATACCCATCCTGTCAGTGGTAGTGGACCCCCATACCCATCCTGTCAGTGGTAGTGGACCCCATACCCATCCTGTCAGTGGTAGTGGACCCCATACCCATCCTGTCACTGGTAGTGGACCCCCATATCCATCCTGTCAGTGGTAGTGAACCCCCATACCCATCCTGTGTGCGGTGGTGGGAAAGGATACAGAGGCACAATGGGTTCAGCAACTTTACCCCAAAATGCATTCAGCTTAGCAATTATAGTCAAGATAAGCTAGGTTACATGTTTAACATATATATATCAACAGTCACTTGTAGGAGCTTAGTGTTGTGCTCTGTACAAGATGTTCTGCCGCCTCACAGTGTTCCTCACAAGCCGCACTAAGGAACAAAAGTATCTTTTGTTAAGGCTGCGTGAACGGAGATACTTATAGCTACATCCTCTTTCATTTGCATGTTTGGCTGGTTTATATAAATCGTAAAATTGGCTAATGTCTATGTGGTTTCTCTCAGTGTTCTCTGGTTTGCCTTTTCATGATTTGTTGACTACATTGCAAACATTTAGGCTGTGTAACAAGCTACTACTGTGCGTCTAGTGGTGATGAGGCCAGTGGTGGAGGAGTGACTCTCTGGCAACCCTTCACCTCTTTACCTCAGGGGTAGTGACCGCTGGCTCCCCCATGCTCGTCCTTGTCTTCCCTTACACTTGTAGCCGTCCGTGGAGGGGTACTGGTTGAGTGTTACCTGCTGAATGATCTCCGTGAAGTGGTACCGGTTGGGCAGCATCCGTGGAGTGATCCGTGTTGAATGTTAACGGTGGAATAAAGTATGGTACTTGTGAAGGTCACGGGCTAAGCCGTGTAGTTGATTGATTACTCTATTTTCTACTACAGAATTGCCACTTCAGTTATCCTGCTATGATATGTATATCTTGGCCCGTCCTGCACAGTCAGGATTAATCTGGTGTACTACATATAGTGTAATGGGTTATGTAGCACTCAACCACCCAGTGAGTCAAGTGCTGTTATAATTGTTATTAAATTATAATACTATGAAACACGTATACATTTCGTGTGTTTCTGTGATAAGCAGGTTGTGGTATAAGCCATGGAGTGAGAGCATGTGTTGTCTGTATGGAGATAACAAGTCCCTTCCACAGCCCTGGTAGCGGAGGTATCAAGCTCAACTTTAAGGTACTGAGTACCTTGTGGACCTTCTGTTTTCTTCCTTTTCTTCTTTCTTCTTCCTTCCAAATTCTTCCTTTTGATAGTGATGAGTGGTGGGAGAGCGTAGTGGAGCATGGAGCTGACTGTGTGGGTGTAGAGATGCTTCCTTGCTGGGGTATACAGGCAGGTGTTCCCGGCTCCTCGCTGTGTACACTGCGACTTGACTCTAGTCCTGAGCGGTCTGTGTTCAGGACTAAGCAAAAAACAAAGAGGTTTTGGGTGGCTTTATCTGAGGGCCACAGCGTCTCTAATGGCCTCGACGGGAACAGGAAGTCGGCGGCTTGTCAAAGGTTCCCCACTATTGGACAAGCTACATGAACCTTTTAAAGATGTGATCTGAGCTGTTTAGTATTTTGAATGTTTCAGTGCAATCAGTCGTGTTGTGCCTGGTTTGTTAGCTTCTCTTTTTAGTATTAAGTCTTTACCCTTCACACCTTTAATAATTGTTTTTCAAAATTATTTTAAGTTTTACCCGAAACGCTTTACGTAACTGTAGGTAGTAACTAAGTGATAGTAACCTATCCACCGCTGCCCACTGGACGAGGGTTATCTTGAGATGATTTCGGGGCTTTAGTGTCCCCGCGGCCCGGTCCTCGACCAGGCCTCCACCCCCCCAGGAAGCAGCCCGTGACAGCTGACTAACACCCAGGTACCTATTTTACTGCTAGGTAACAGAGGCATAGGGTAAAAGAAACTCTGTCCATTGTTCCTCGCCGGCGCCCGGGATCGAACCCGAGACCACAGGATCACAAGTCCCGGCTCCCTGGTCGTGGGGCGGTGTGCAGGACAAACATATCAATTGTGACACTAGCTCTCCACATGTCAGTTTCTTAATTTAGAAACTGTACTTGTGGTCGATCTCGAACCCCTTGTTGATGTGACGACTTATACTGAATTTTGTAACTAGCTCATCAAGATTGTAACTTGCTTAGCTAAATGAATTGTGGGGTTCAGTCCCTGAGCCCATTATGTGCCTCTGTAACCCTTTCCACTACCGCCCACAAGATGGGTATGGGGTGCATAATAAATGAACTAAACTAAACTAACGTAATAGTGGCTTCATTAGATTGTCTAACTCCTCTCCCCACAATTGTACATTACGCTTATGTTCTTTGCACACACATTCTGTTGAATAAAAATGTAAATTTCAATTTGAATTTCATTTTGTAGGGCTGTTAGTTCTGAGGTCGTCAATCTTGCCTTTCATGAGAGTTGACGTAGTTGTCGGGATGATTGTTCCTTTAGCTGGCCGCTCTACTCTTTCCTAAGCGATCATGTTGACCAGACCACACACTAGAAGGTGAAGGGACGACGACGTTTCGATCCGTCTTGGACCATTCTAAAGTCGATGAGAATGGTCCAGGACGGACCGAAACGTCGTCGTCCCTTCACTTTCTAGTGTGTGGTCTGGTCAACATCAACCACGTTATTGTGACTCCTCGTCTGCCTAAGCGATCATATCCTTTCTGAAGATGAAGTCTCGGTGCTTGGGTATAGTAGTCCAGGTGGAGGCGTACCTGGGATTTGCACAATGACTAGCCACTTTCTGTTTCCTTGAGGTCAAAGGTTCGTTTGATTATTCCTAAGGTTAGGATGGCTTTTTTTACCGCAGCTCCTATGCGTATTGAACAACTTTCACTGACTGGAGAGTTACAACTCTAATAGGTTTATTTTTTTAAATCAATTGCAGGGGTCGTGTTGTTGACATGGTAAATTAAATTAAATTTTTTATTCAGGAAAAGTACATAGATGATAAGTTACAAACATAATGCTGGATTTATAGATAGAGCTAGTACATACAAAACCTAAAGCCACTAATACGCCTGGCGTTTCGGGCAAAATTATAGTGGTTAATGATAGTGTATGGTGGTTAATGACCACCATTAATGACAAAATGGTAGTTAATGTTAGTGTATATGCCTGACATGTATAAAGTCTTACAATTTTTCAATATTGAAAAGTATTTGCAATTCTTCAGACCATTTCAGAGTTCATGTAGTTTGTTTTCCAAGGCCTCACTGTCATTTTTCGTTCCTCATTTTACCACAGATCTTTCTCATCTGCAAATTTGATGATGTGGAGTGTGATTTTTCTCATCTATGGCGTTTCTGTATATTACAAAAACAAAAGTTGATCCATTTAGGACGACCTTTTACTTTCTTTGTTTTAACAACTGTTTCTGGATCAGTCCTTCTTGTGGTACCTTATAAAAAGTGCTAGAAAAGTCCAGGTCCACTGCATCTACTGCAGTCTTTTGTCAGGGTAAGTGGTTACAGTTTCCAGAAACGTGAACAGGTTATTTACGATAAATTGTTTTACAAAACCATACTGTGATACTTGAATAAGATTGTACACTTTGATAATGGTGGCTGTAGGAGGCCCCTGGTGGGTGTGGCTGGAGGAGGGCCCTGGTGGGTGTGGCTGTGAGGGATGTGGCTGGAGGAGGCCCCTGGTGAGTGTGGCTGTGAGGGATGTGGCTGGAGGAGGCCCCTGGTGAGTGTGGCTGTGAGGGATGTGGCTGGAGGAGGCCCCTGGTGAGTGTGGCTGTGAGGGATGTGGCTGGAGGAGGCCCCTGGTGAGTGTGGCTGTGAGGGATGTGGCTGGAGGAGGCCCCTGGTGAGTGTGGCTGTGAGGGATGTGGCTGGAGGAGGCCCCTGGTGAGTGTGGCTGTGAGGGATGTGGCTGGAGGAGGCCCCTGGTGAGTGTGGCTGTGAGGGATGTGGCTGGAGGAGGCCCCTGGTGAGTGTGGCTGTGAGGGATGTGGCTGGAGGAGGCCCCTGGTGAGTGTGGCTGTGAGGGATGTGGCTGGAGACGCCCAATCCACACCAACTACTCCAGCTAAATAAGAACTAAACGGCTCGAGTTTCTGCATTTCAATTCATTTTCCCTCCGACTACGGTTACTCAGGATATTTGATATAATTATCCGATGTAGTAGCGTTGCAATCGGCATTATAAAGCGAGGAATATATGAGTAAATGAGGGAGCGGTGGTGAATGATGGTAAGGTAGTGTGAGGGGGGCCCCCACGCTCCACGCTCCTCCAGTGACGGCCACGCTCAGGCATCTCCCCTACCAGTCTCTTGCTGTGGCTGTGGTTCACTTTCTCGGGACAAAGGTTCCATGTATTAGCTCGCTGTAGTGAGACATTCATATATATAGGTAACTGTTTTGTGTTGGTGTGAGTGGTGAGGTGTGTGGATCACGGTGAGGGAGAGAAAGGGCAGAAGGGGTTCATGAGGACGGCTGGGTGGAGTCCCTCACACTCTTAAGTTACTAGCAAGTTTGGCCAGTCCTTAAACCTCGTCAAATTGTCCTGCCCCTGTGGCCTTCCCCTGTGTCCTTCTCCTGTGGCCTTCCCCTGTGTCCTGCCCTGTGTCTGGAGTGTATAGGTAAACTTGGTTTACTAAGTTAACCAGAGCAACAGGTTGGTGAGAGCTGACTGTTGATGTATGCGGGATAATCAATTCAAATTCAGTTCAAAAACTTTTGTGATTATTGAAGGTATCCTTGGAGAGGGAGGGATGTGGTTATGTCACTGACAAGTAACGGAGTGAACACCAGGTTAACCTGTGCTCACATATATTGATTCACCAAGACCAATCATAACTGGATGAAGTGATGATGTGTACAGTACAGTACCAACATAAAAAGTTGACCTCTGTTGTGCTTTGACAATGTTTTGTGGTAGTGTTAAGAGAGGAGTCTCTTACACACTCACACAGTTTGTTTATGAACCAATAATTCCTGCTCATATTAGGCTAAACAAGACCTTTTATTGATTTTTTTTTTGTTAGCATGTACAAATGATTAAATTGTTAAAGCATTTAGTCCTAGTCTATATGGGTTTTAATCCTTAAATGTTAGGCTAAAGGTAGTTTGTTCTACAAAAGTTAACACATTTCATAAATAATTATATTTCCTGACTAAAATTTGTTGACACTTCAAGCCTATTATTTCAACTGAGGAGAAAGAAATTACTGTACAGTAATTGATCCTCTTGGAGGACATAAACACATTAACTAATTTCTGTCCTTTGACAAGCCACCGGCTTCCTGTTCTCATCGAGGCCGTTAAAGTGTTAGTGGCCCTCATGGAAATTTTCAGAATTTATCTTTGCTTGTATCAGCAGTCTTTCAGAGATCTTTGGAATTATTCTTAGTCTAATTCCTAGTGTTGCAGATGTCATCCCCTACAAGAAACACTTAACATAATTATCCCAGTGCAGCTTAGTCTGCACTCTCAGTTGGCAGTTGAAATCAATAATAATAATAATAATAATAATAATTCTTAATAAATATTATTTATCTCGTTACAAATTGTGCGAGTACCACTTTGCCACCAGCACTTAAGTCAATTGTTACTATTAATCACCCACCACTACATCTGTTGCTCCTATTATTAAAATTTGCTCTTTTGCCAAAAGTACCTCAAGTTGGCTGACAGCCCCTTAACATTGTTACTTCCTCTTCCAGTAGACGCAGATTTCCACTACCACTACCACCACCACCCCTAAAACTGCCAATATGAAGGAATGCTGGTCACCGTGGTACTACTACGACGACATAAAGTCGGCCAGCAAAGCGTGTGCGGCAACAACCATCTTCTTTAGCACCTTTTCTATCATCTACATTTGCTACTGCCTGGATGGTGGTGAATCCTCCCAGTTCTTCTTACCTTTGTTTGAGACAGACGTAGACACAAGTAAGTCCTCCCCGCATCGCTTACCATGTGATGAACACCCATCATTTTTGGGGGATGAATATATGCTTGTCCTGCATAGTGTTTACCCCCCCCCCCCCCACATGTCCGTGTAAACCCCCTCATATCCTTGTAATGCCTTTTATGTCATTGTAACCCCCCCAATATCCTTGTAACCTCCCATATCCTTGTAACCCCCAAAATCCTTGTAACTCCCCCTGCATCCCCATAACCCCAGCATCCTTGTGTAACCTTGTACTCCACTCTCTAGAGTGGAGTACTGCTGCACAATGACAGCCCCTTTCAAAGCTGGAGAAATTGCTGACCTAGAGAGCGTGCAGAGATCCTTTACTGCTAGAATCCACTCAGTAAAACATCTAAATTACTGGGACCGACTAAAGAGCCTAAATCTGTACTCCCTTGAACGCAGGCGGGAGAGATACATAATAATTTACACGTGGAAAATAATTGAGGGGCTGGTCCCAAACCTGCACACAGAAATAACACCACATGAGACCAGAAGACATGGCAGGATGTGCAGAATACCCCCGTTGAAAAGCAGAGGTGCAACAGGTACTCTGAGAGAGAACTCTATCAACATCAGAGGCCCGAGACTGTTCAACACGCTTCCACTACACATAAGGGGCATAACTGGCAAACCCCTCACAGTGTTCAAGAGAGAACTGGATAAGCACCTCCAAAGGATACCTGATCAACCAGGCTGTGACTCATACGTCAGGCTGCGAGCAGCCGCGTCTAACAGCCTGGTTGATCAGTCCAGCAACCAGGAGGCCTGGTCGACGACCGGGCCGCGGGGACACTAAGCCCCGGAAGCACCTCAAGGTAGCCTAAGGTAGGTAACCCCACATCCTCATATCCCCTCCTCCACATCCTCGTAACTTCCTCTCCACCTCCTTGTAACCTACCTCAACTTCCTTGCAAACACCCCTGCATCCTAGTTACCCCCACATCCTTATAACCCCTGCTCCCACATCCTTGTTACTCTGTCCTAGCAATCCCACCCCCTTCCCCACATAACTGTTAGCCCATGCTGTCCACCCATTCAACTTATACACGCAATTTCCAGTTGTGTGTACAGTATAACCCTCTCACCTGAATAGGACCTTGTGTATCCCCCCCCCCTCTTCTAGCTAAAGTATAGGAAACAGCATGTTCTGTTATCTTGTGGTTCTAACAGAATCCTGTGGAACCGTGTGGTTCTATGTGGGCCACATTGTATAATACTGTTATTGTATTTTAAGAAAAAATATTGTCAAATGGTCATGCCCATCCTTAAGATTGGATGGAATGAAAGTGTGACAGTCCCTGTTTGTTCACTCAAGCATCAGTATAGTAACATTTGTATTTTAAGGTAGGATAAAGTTATCCCTTTGCATCAAAAACTCATAATGTGCCTACATTGCTGAATAAAATTTAATCTAAAAAATTTTAGGATATTTTTTTTAAATGCCTCCCTGCCCCATGAAAGTTTGAAACTTGGCATTAATGAATTAATATTTTTTTTCTAAGGCAGTTAGAATTCTTAAGCTGTGGAATACTGCGAGGATAGATGCCTAAGAAAGGTGCATCATGGGGAAGAAAAAAGATATGGTCAATGACTGACACCATAGTTGCCTAAGTGCCTATGGTTGACCTTAAAAAAAACCACCAAAACATGCTGACATGCCATGTTAAATACTAAGAAAGGAGCCATTAAACATACGGGTGGCTAATACCGGTGATCGCTTTATTGAGATCTATTGAAAATGTGACCAAAACTTGTGTACCATTCTGCCTTGTACATTCATATTTGATTTTAGTATTCAACAGTTCCCATAATGCAAGCCGCTGGACATTTGGGTGGATGAAAACAGAGGCACCTGCAGTTCCTATGGGTAACAAATACTGTCTGCTTTTATTGAAATGATGTGTAAAACAATAGTAGTGAAAGCATAGTGAGTATAATATATATACAGTATATGTCAATACTGGTAAGATTCCTCTCTAAATGGGTTGTGTAATAATTAGACCTTCAGCATCTGTTGGACAACCAGAAATAAGGTTGCTGACCACTTTGCTTGTGCTGTAACATCAGCCACCTACAGTACATATTTCAGTTAATACTCTTATCTAAATAAAGTATTTCATCTACTATCTGCAGTCTAAAGTGTGGTGTCATTTTATAGATGAACATAACGTTCAATTTATACCCGAAGTATTATTAAACATTTTGCAATAGTCAAACAAGTAAAAATGCAAATTAACACGCTTGAATTCCTGGTGAGTGGCCAACTTGAACCTCCTACAAGTGAGCTAGGCAGAAGTAGCTGGCTGTTTGCTGAATTGGAAACACAGTTTTTCTTAATCGTTTTATGTTTGTGTGGCCATTACCATAACAAAGAAATGACGACACTGCGAATGACCTGAGAAAGATGAGCCATGGAACAGGGAACTTTTTTTTTTTTTTTTTTTTTGACACAATATCAGCAATACAAAAATTTTATTTAATGAGCACATTGCAATAAACAATTCCTCCCTTTAATCTTGTTAAATATTTTTGCAGGTTCTATTTTTTTCATCTAGGCAGATGATAGAGGATTTTCTAAATAAATGACATAATTGTCACATATGCTGAGTTTTTGAAAGAATAATACTTCATATACTGTACAGTATTTATATTTTAGGTTGATTTCAGAAAAGAAGGGATCAGTGGAACTAGTACAGTATATTGATATAACTAGGAAGAATGGTAGATTTCCCTATATATTGATCAATGCATAGAGCAATCAAAAGGTTAATTATTTATTAAATAATAAATAAATTTATCTTTCAACAGCCATGAAAAGTGCTGGTGGATTTATGATCTTCTTCTACATTGTGTACATTATAACATCTATCCTGATGGTGAAGGGGCTAAGCATAGAGCTTCGAGGCCTCATTTTGCCATGGCTCACACAGAACCTCATCTACATCCTCATGATCATCGCCTTTGCTCTCTGGCTTCAGGCCTCCTACTACCATTACGTGAGTCATTTGTGTGTGTTTGTGTAATTAAGTGTAATTACCTGAGTGTAGTTACAAGATGAGAGCTAGGCTTGTGGTATTGCATCTTCCCAGTACTTTCATATATAATGTTTTGAAACTATTGACGGTTTTGGCCTCCACCACCACCTCGCTTAACTTGTTCCAACCATCTTCCACAGTTTGCAAAGAAAACTTTCTAATATTTTTTTGGTACTCTTGTTTCCTTAACTTGAATCTGTGCCCTCTTGTTCTTGAAGTTGCTGGTTTTAGGAATTCCTGTTTGTCATTTTGGCCAATTTCTGTTATTATTTTGTAAGTGGTAATTATATCGCCTCTTTCTTCTATCTTCTAGCTTTTGCATAGTTAATGCCTCTAGCCTCTCTTTGTAACTCTTGTTTTTCAGTTCCGGAAGCCATTTTGTATTGTGCCTTTGCATCTTTTCCAGTTTATTTATGTACTTGAGATATGGGCACCATACAATTGTTGCATATTCCAATTTTGGTCTCACAAAAGTCATGAACAGTTTCTTTAGTATTTCACCATCCATGTAATTAATTAAAAGTGAATTTGAGGTTGGAAAGTGACACATGCGCTCCTCTCGCAATGTTCTTTGTGTTCCTCGAGTGACAGTCTACTATCCAAAACCACACCTAGATCTCTTTCTTTGTTAGAATTATTTAATTCCTTTCTACATAATTTGTAAATTGTATGTGGTGTATTTTCTCCAATTCCACATTCCATAACATGGCATTTATTCACAATGCATTCCATTTACCACATGGCACTCCAAGCACTTATTTTATCTAGATCAATTTGAAGGACATGATAATTATCTAGGTCTTCCCTAGTAGCTTAACATCATCAGCAAACATGTTCATATAAGTCTGTATTCCTTCTGGTAGGTCGTTTATGTTGACGAAGAACATTACTGGTGCAAGAAATGAACCCTGTGGTACTCTGCTAGTAACACTCCTCCAGTCAGATTAATTGCCTCCGATTACCAGCCTCATTTTTGTCAGAAAATTTTTCATCCATGTCAGAAGTCTCCCTGTCACCCCTCCAGCATGTTCCAGTTTCCAAAAAACCTCTTTTGTGGGATTCTGTCAAAATCCTTTTTTAGGTTCAGATAGACAGTCTACCCAACCATCTCTCTCCTGTAGAATTTCTGTGGCTCTTATCATGAAAACTAAGTAGATTTGTTACACAGGATCTTTCTATTTGAAAATCAAACTGACTGACTGACTTATTAGTCACTACTTTCCAGGTGTTCTACCCATTTGGTTTTAACTAATTTTTCTAGGGTTTTGACTACCATGCTTTTTAATGATACACGTATATTATTTCGATGGTTTTATCTGCCACCATTTTTGTAGATTGGAACTATGTTTGCCCTTTTTTTTATATATATCTGCTATGATCACTGTATACAAGTATGTCTGGAATATCAATTGGAGTGGAATGCTCAGCTCAGTTGCACATTCTTGCAGCACCCAAGGTGAAACACCATGTGATCCAACTGCTTTATTTCTTCCTAGCCCCTTGAGTAATCTCATTTACTTCCTTGCCTAGCAACTAGTCTTTCCAATTAAATTCATTAAAGAATTTGCTAAGTTCCCCATAGTGCCCTCTCTTGCAATCAAGTTTATCAACTATTTCAATTTCCCCATTCCCTTCTAGATTATATCTCGTTGCATATTTAATTTCCAAAAAGACATTGTCACTCTTTCCCAATGAAGGAAGTTATCGAATGTCAAATATCTCTTATTTTCTGGTGAATATTAAATCCAGTATTAATGGAACATCCTCTTCCCTCATTCTTGTGACTTGCTTAATGTGTTGATATATGAATGTTTCCAGGATGAGGTTTACAAATCTGCCTGTCTAAATGTCAAGTGTGTTGCAGTTAGTAAGTTTGATTTTGTTTCAGCTGCTGTCGGTATTGTGGACGTGCCTCTACTTGCTCTTCGCTGCCGCCCATGTGAGTAATTCACTTATTGGAACTAATTTAATTAAATAAGCAAATTTCAATTTTGTTGAATGCTAAGTTAGGCTAAATCAGACTATATGTGTGAATTTAATGAATTAATAAAATGTACCCAGTATCTGTACCCAGTTTGATAACTGACTACAGATGAACATGTTAAGTCCCTCCAGAACCACCTGCTTCACATTTTGGAACTGGTAGATTCAAAAGTATTGAGAATAAAGAAAAACAGGAATGCTGTGTTATTAAGTAAGGTAACTTCAGCAGAATACATTTGATAACTCTCTACTGTTTAGCTTGCATTCCACCCAAGTCAAGTTTTTTCTTAACTTTTATTTAATTTTCAGATATACATGCACAGGTGTGTCAAGAGCCAGTATGACAACATAAAGATGATTCAGGCTCAAAACATCGAGCAGCTTTTCTAATCATGTCTGCAGATGCCAGCTTCAACATGCCTGTACTGATCGTGTCTTGGGATAACGACTTCAGTACATCTGTACAATATCCGTCCATCAGAACATTCCATGTGAATACTGCACAAATTTAAATGATACCTCAGCAACACTTGCCTAGTAGTGCCCTTGTATGATTCTTTGCAACTGTTGCCTGTTAATTGTCCCTGTATGATGCTAATGTGATATGTTAGTATCATGTCTCTTGTTCCATTTAGGGCTTCACTGGTACAATACCTGTTCTTGCTAGGAACAGATACTCCATTTCATGTCCATTCTCAGATTCCACATTGATGATGCTAGTATTACACACTCCATATGTGTCTATTCCCTGATGACACTACAAACAGATCTGTCTAATTACCCAAAGCTTCCTAGCATTACCTAAGTAATGAGTAAATATGAGATATTTACTCACTATAATGTTGGTGCTGAATGTAGAACATGAAAACACATATTTTTACTCTGAAATAATATATATTTTTATAATGAAACTGGGTACATCTAATTACCCAAATCCACAACATTATCACTTAGAACGTCGACTTCCTGTGGCATCACCTGCCACTTAATATCGTCTAATTTCGTTATAAAATTTTATTATTTCAGAGTAAAAATCTATTTTTTCATGTTCTACATGCAGCACCAACATTATAGTGAGTAAATATGTCATATTTATTCTTTATGTACGTAATGCTAGGAAGCTTTGGGTAGATTTAGGTAATTATACGGACCGCTACAAATGGGTTTTCCACGTTTGTTCTATACCACTCTGAAGGTGGTACCAATAATCTACATGATGTCCATTCCTTGATAATATGACTAGCACATGTTCCACATGCTATTCATTCCCTAATGTTAACCATGCGATGTTACTAAGAGATATTACATATGTGGTTTAATTTTTTGAGGCTACCTTGATATTGTTACTCTACATACTGTATATAAATTTACATAAATTTAAACATACTGTACTCATTTCTTTACACTCATTCTTCAGTTATTATCTGCTCACCCGATTGACGTCGCACAAAATTTAGATTTAAAGTTTTTCATAATGTCAGCTTTGTATGTTGTTGTTGGGTTAGGGGCAGCTACAGCGCCGGGCTGTATGTACCGTATCAATCCAGGCGTAGCTGGAGAGTCCCGGTGAACCAGCAGGGTGCCCTTCGAACACAGGCAGCACTGGTTACAGATGCCTGTGTGTGGCCTGTAGGAAGTGAAACGTCAAACGCAGGGTGTTGTAATGCAAAATCTCCTCCAGGCCATGTCATTGAGGAGAAAGGAAAGTGTGAGGTGGGAGGTTTGGATGCGAACAAGTCGCTGCAGAGATGTATTCGCCTTTCGTGTGAAATAAGTGTAGTCCTCATTAACATTCAGAATATTTCACTGTACTGTATACTGTATATAAATTAACAGTTTAGTCCTCAATGCTTTTATTGTTCTTTTACATAAAAGATCAAAGTTTTATGCGCTGAAATTTGCAACCCATGTTCCTACAAGAGTGCATATAATTGGAATAGTGTATAAATACAAAATATGGACATCAGACAATTTACAAATTGTCCCTAGTGACACATAATCAAGGAAGAAAAAACAAAGACAATAACCTAACCTAGTATACATCCCCACAATCTCTACACACCCCTGTCCTTTAACCCTTAAACTGCTCCTGTTGCCCACAAGAGATAGACCGATGATGGTCCTGTCATTTGAAAGAGATTTAATGTACTTCATATACAAAATTCCTATAGATTCTATGGATGTCATTCAACACTAGTAGTACTGTAGTAGGCATCCATCAGTCTCGGGAGACTATGGAGTTGCACTTTAGTTGTCGGTCTAGAGTGGCCTCTCCAGGGTGCAAAGCCAGGTAGGTTGATACGGAGGAGAAGCTGTTACCCAAACAGCAGGTCCCCCCCTCTCCACGGTGCCGAAAGTCTCCAATGGAAAGGCAGATGCCAATATAATTGTTGTCACAGGAACCGAGAGCTCTGGAGTTGACCTCGAAGTTGGGTAAAGAAGGCACAGGGACTCCTAACCCGGAGACCGTCGTGGTTGGGGCCGGAGAATTACTAATATAATTAATTAATAATTATCACTCTTCTGCTTGGTCTTGAAGGAAGCCAGCCTTGGGTGAAAGAGGGCTTGGTTGCCTTCCTAAGCATTATGACGCCTTAGTTGCCTTTCTAAGCATTATGAAAAAAACAATTAGCACCGTGTTTTATCTGCTATGCAATTAGCACTGTTGAATGGTTGGGGATTGAGTTCAATCTCCAACCATTCAAGTGGTTGGGCACCATTCCTTTCCTCCATCCTATCCCAAATCCTTATCCTGATCCCTTCCAAGTGCTATACCTGTATAGTCATAATGGCTTGGCTCTTTCTCCTGATAATATTCCCTTCTCTGAGAGAACTTTGAGAAATGAGACGGTATAATCGCATTTTTCCGGTGAGGATACTACATGCCTGGATTCTGTGAAGACTTTACATTGACATCATTAAATTGATAGCATCATTTTCATTGATGCTGGGGTTAATTGGGTCACGAACATCTTGAGCACAGGGTAATATGTGAATGCCATTTACATGTCTGAAACATACAGAAACACAAACATAGAGCACATATGGCAACACTTCATCTTGAATGCACAGAGTAACACTTATTGCCTTATAAACATCTTGATCACAGAATGGGCCCATTAATTTGTATTGCCTTTTGCAAGTCTTGATGCTTCTCTTCACCCCCTTCCCCCAGTGTTCCACAGTAGTGGCTGGCAAGAGTCTGTTGGCGTCTACCTTATTCTACAGTGCCTCTGTTGGAAGACCTTTTACGGTCTTCCAACGAAGAAGGTAAAAGAAGTCTTTTACGTTCTAGGATTTTTGTGCAGCGAGATGCTTTATTATTTAATCATATTTTGTTTTGTTTTTAAATGTTTTGACTAATTACAAAGCACACATTTAATTAAAATGTTAAACTGCATATTTAGTACTGTATGTGCCAAAAGTTGCATCATTTTCTGTTTTAGTAATGGAAATGTGATTTATTAAAATATCAGCAATTTATATATATACGGTACCGTATTTTGTTGTGCACCTACATAATAAATTGTGACTAATATAGAACTAATTCACCAGGAAATAGGTTACGGTCATACACTAATATTAGTTTTAATATAAAGCTACAGTACAGAGGTATACTATTGTTTTTTGTGTTTTGTTATATATAGAGTTCACTGTGTTGTATTTCAATATACTGTGTACTATACATAAATTGTATCACAGTAAGCTTACAATGGTACCAATTGTATGGCATAATGGTTTTACAAAATAGTTCAAACATGTGTGTACAGTACATTGTGTTCAGACATTGATTTTGTCCAGATGTCTGAAGGCTGGCAATTGCACAGATTCGACTTGAATCCTATATATTCAATAGCAAAAAATAGAAAAAATATCACTGTACCATGTTTCTTGTTACTTAGTTGCTAACAATATTTGCATACTTAAGAAAGGCACATGGTATTTATTTTTGTATAATGTAACTTTTTATATAGAACACCTTTGAACTATGACTGTAGTCAGTAGTAGAATTTGTTATACACTGTGTTTAAATGTCATTTGTGTTTAATTGTAATTCAGATTTGTTTTAAGAATATACAGTGTCTTTCTTTGTGTATAACATTGTGTAACACTGAAAAAAAAAGGGAGGTCTTTAGGGCCTTTTACAGTAGGCATCATTCTCGACTCATAATCAGTGATCTTGGGTTTGATTCACAGGTGCGACAGAAATGGTTGGGCACATTTCCTTTCTCCTAATGCCTTTGTTCACCTAGTAGTATATATGTACCCAGGAGATAGGCAAATATTGTGGGGTTGTATCCTGGAGATGGGCAATAGTTCGACCTTGGGGGACCTCGATACAAGCCTTAAGTATGTAGTATATATATACCAACCCGTTCTCGCAAATTTAATAAGTCAATATTGACTTATTAAATATGTGCATAGGTGACATACTTAACATAATAGATACCCTTAAAAAGATTCATAGAAAACACCGACCTTACCTAACCTTGTTAGTATCTTAAGATAAGCATCTTATTGCTTCGTAATTACAATTATTACCTAACCTATAATAGGTATAGGTTAAGTAATAATTGTAATTACGAAGCAATAAGATGCTTATCTTAAGATACTAACAAGGTTAGGTAAGGTCGGTGTTTTCTATGAATCTTTTTAGGGGTATCTATTATGTTTAGTATATCACCTATGCACATAGTTAATAAGTCAATATTGACTTTACGAATTTGCGAGAACGGTTTGTATATACTGTATACAAAGACTTCCTGTCCTTAACGAAATGAATTAAAAGATTTTAATGTTGTACTTTCATGAAAAATAATATTAAGTATCGTTGTATGAATTTACTTTCATGACATTTGCTAAACAGTTTCTAAGCATTCCAGATCAGATTCAGATTCAGATGTTTATTCAGGTAAGGTATATACATACAAGTGATGTTACATTAATGGTTTGATATATAGATAGAGCTAGTACATACAATGCCTAAAGCCACTATTACGCAATGCGTTTCGGGCAAGAAAAACATTAATATCTAGAACTTAATACTAATTGAGCATAAAGAATAAAAGATGTTGAGAACAAATACAAATAAAGATAAAAAAAAAGGGGGAACATGACTGAAAAAGCAGCACAAATACAATAGGTTGACAAACAGTGTTGATTAAAAAAAAAGAAAAAAAAAGAAAATAACAGACATGGGTTGACAATAGAGGAGTGAGGTAGATTACAGGGAATTTATTAGGTAGTGTTTAGTTTTTATCTTAAACTGGTTGAGAGAGGTACAGTCTTTAACATGGTTGGGAAGGTCATTCCACATTCTGGGCCCCTTGATTTGCAGAGCATTTCTAGTTTGATTAAGACGTACTCTAGGAATATCAAAACTGTATTTATTTCTGGTGTGGTGCTCATGGGTTCTGTTACAACCTTCTATGAAGCTTTTAAGATCAGGATTGGCATTATAGTTTAGCGTTTTATATATGTATAATACACATGAGAGAATGTGCAGTGACTTAATATCTAACATATTAAGAGATTTGAGTAGGGGTACCGAGTGATGTCTGGGGCCAGAGTTGGATATTGTTCTAATAGCGGCTTTGTGTTGGGTAATTAGAGGACGTAAGTGATTTTGGGTAGTAGAACCCCAAGCACAAATACCATAGTTGAGATAAGGATAGATAAGGGAGTAATAGAGAGTCACCAGAGCAGGGCGTGGTACATAATATCTGATCTTAGAAAGAATGCCCACAGTTTTTGAAACTTTTTTTGATATATTTAGAATGTGTCCCTGGAAATTCAGCTTGTGGTCAATGAGAATGCCAAGGAATTTGCCATCTAATTTGTTACAAATTTGGGTATTGTTTATTTTGAGATTTATAAGGCTAGAGGATTTATTGCCAAACAGAATATAGAAGGTTTTGTCAATGTTAAGGGTGAGTTTGTTGGCAGTTAGCCAAAGATGGACTTTATTTAGCTCAGTATTTACTGTGGCATTTAGAGCAAGAGGGTCAGGACTGGAGTAAATGAAGGTTGTGTCGTCAGCAAATAGAATTGGTTTGAGGTGTTGGGAGGCATTTGGAAGGTCATTAATGTAGATGAGAAAGAGGAGAGGGCCAAGTATGCTGCCCTGAGGAACACCAATGTTGATGGGTAGGGTGGGAGAAATTGTATTATTCACAGAAACATATTGGAGCCTGTCAGTAAGGTAGGACTCGAGGTATTGTAGGGAGTGTCCTCTGACTCCATAATGATGTAATTTAAGAAGAAGGTTTTGGTGGTTGACAGTATCAAAAGCTTTACGCAGGTCCACAAATAACCCAACAGGGAGCTCCTTTTTATCAAGAGCTGTATGAATCGAGTTAAGCATACTAATAAGTGCATCGTTAGTGCTTTTTTTGGGTCTGAAGCCATATTGGCAAGGGCTAAGTATATTGAGTTTGGCTAGATATGAGTAAAGCTGCTTGTATATAAGTTTTTCAAAAATTTTTGACAAGTTTGGCAGGATTGATATAGGTCTGTAGTTGTTAACATCTGTGGGGTCACCACATTTGTGGACAGGCGTTACTCTCGCTTTTTTTAGAATATCTGGAAAGGTTTGGAGTTCAAGTGACTTGTTGAAGAGCAAAGCAATAGCAGGGGCTAAAGATCTGGAGGCTTTTTTGTAAATTAAAGTTGGTATCTCCTCAAGGGCACCAGACTTGGTTTTAAGGGAAAGGATTATCTCATTGACGTCAGTGGAGTTAATAGGCTTTAGGTACAGAGACTGTGGATAGTTACCTGTAAGATAGTCCTTAATGTCAGTACTGGAAGATGGAATATCATTTGCAAGGGATGAACCAATGGAAGAGAAGAACCTATTGAACTCAATAGCAGAATCAGAGGCTGAAAGCTGACCATCGTTATTAGACAGGAGAGTCGGTTTGTTATTTAAAGATTTCTTTGATCCCAATATTTGTGAAATTGTGCTCCAAGTTTGTTTAATGTTGCTCTTTATTTGAGTAAATTTATCTTCGTAGTAATTAGTTTTGGCTCGTCTAATTATCTTAGTTAGCAATAATGAGTAATTCTTTGAGAATTCTTTGGAGACAATTCCTAACCTATACTTCTTCTCAAGGTCGTGTTTTTTGTTAATGGATTTCAGTATTCCCTTTGTAAGCCAAGGATTGTTAAGCCTTTTGCTTGTGACTTGTTTTGTAAGCCTAGGACAGTGGGTGTTATAAAGGCTAAGAGTTGTTTGTAGAAAAGATTGCACTGCTAGGTTGATGTCCCCTATGTTACCTAATTCGGACTCCCAGTTGACATTATCAGCAGCAGTTATAAAATTGTTTATAGCAGTTTCATTGTGCAGCCTAAAGCTTAACTCCCTTGTTTCTAGAGGTGGTTTGCTAATGTTAGTTAAGAGAAATGTGGGGTAGTGGTCTGTAGTGCTATCGGTGATTATACCTGAAGTAAGCGGAGAGGTTATGTTGGTCCAGATGTGATCTAGAGTCGTGGCAGTGCTATCAGTGATTCTAGTAGGTCTAGTGATTAAGGGTATGAGGAGGCAGGAATTCATACAGTTGAGGAAGCTAACAGCAGTAGGGTGTTCTGGCTCGCAGAGGTCAATATTAAAGTCCCCTGCGATAATTAGGTGGTTTTTGTTCAGTCTGTTATCAAGTATTAGATTTCTAAGGTTTGAGTTGAATACAGACACATCAGTGTTGGCAGCAGTTAGTGTTACTAGATGATATACAGTACAGTACTAACATTAAGTACTGTATATCTAATATGTGATCATATGAATTTATTATTCCAAACACATTACTGTATTTTGTACCAGCTATGTTACTTTGCCTTTTTTCTTCATTTAAAGATTCTCATTTTCAGTATTCATTCATAAGAAAAGATTACTAAGGAAACTAATACAGTGGTACCTCCACTTAGAATTTAATCCATTCCCAGAGACGGGTCGTAACTCGAAACTAATTTTTTCCATAAGAAATAACTTAATTTGAATTAATCTGTTCCACACCGCCAAAAATATTAACTTAAAAATATATTTTATACCGAATACCACTCTTTGTATTAGCTACAATACAGTATGTTTAACTTACCTTTATTGAGGACTCTTGTTGGCATATGGAAGACGGTCAGGAAGTGGGGAGGAAGTGTTACTGTTTGGAAGGAGAGTTCCCTCTCATTATAACTTCAGGTAGTGATGACTTCTCTGGGGTACTCTCTCTCGTATATTGTGCAGGCATACCACTAGGACCTGGTTGTGGCTCACTGCTTGCTTGTCATACTAAGAATCTGTCTAAAGACACTTGTTTTCCCTACATTTTAACACTTATCTGTAGTGAGACATCACAGTATCATTTAAAAGGTCAATGCAATGATCTGCTACAGCTTCATCTGGGCACGTTTTTTCAACAAAACTTTGCAGCTCTTCCCATACTTCACACATTTTCATAATGAGGAAGGGACATCCTCTACTGCATCTACTTGCAACTATTTTCTTAGGTTAAACCTTACCACTGACTTTATTGAGACCATGGCATGATATACAGTACAATAATTACTTTTGTTCAAAAAACAAAAAAGCACAAAAACAATTAAATTATTTATAAAGAATTCAAGCGCGATTGTCACTAAGCGGGTGGCTCAAGTCACCAGAAACCACGTGCTCGGTTGACCCCATGTGTGTATCGACAGTCACTAGTCGAGGCAAAGGTCACAAGTCAAATTTTCCGATGAAATTGGGGTCGTAACTCAAAATTTGTAAATCGAGTTTGCACTGTATATTTTGTATGTTTGTATTTAGCATCTTTATATAAATGCTAATAATTCATGTGTAATTTTCCAATTTGTATTTTGATAATTAATTACAGTATTGTATTTGCCGGAGGATAGGATTGTTTTTTTTTGGGGCGGGGGAAGGGGGCCACCAACGACCCAGTATATGTTATATTTACACACAAAATCATGTGTTTTTCTTACAAAACCACTTAAAAATTATTTTAAATAAATACAGTATATGACAACTTTTTTTTTAGCAAAATATTCTTGTAAATTAGAGGCATGCTGGGGGAAAACGTGATTATACATCCCCCATCGTGAAATGTGATAATCACACATTAATGTATAAATAAGGTAATGTAATATTTATACTACAGTAATTGGGATTAAAATCTCAATGCAAAGATGTACACATTGAATCTTGTTTTGTATGAATTAATGTATGATTATTAACTATAATAAACATATTGACTCATAGTTAATGTTTAATTGATCTGAACATTAATGGAGTTTGTGATTCTGGAGAATGCATTTGCAAAACCAATTCTTTTGCTTAAGTTTAAAAGTAAACAAGTTCCTAATGCTGTAAAATTTAAATTTGCCTTGAGTTCTGTGTTTTCAGGATGTCATGAGGTTTTCTACAGACTGCATATGCTGTATAACCATACAATCATTTCACTCATCTATTTATTATATATGTCACACTATGGTATACAGTATAGCATTATAGATAAACTGCAACACTCCAGCAGCCATCAAGAGCAGCTCAATGGCTGCAATACCAGCAAACTGTAACCCTCCACTGGTTCATAAGACCAGGCATACTGTACAGTACATTCAAATTTTGTACAATCACTGCCTCCTTTTAAACCAAATCCAAGCAGCCTTAACTGTTACCATATCAGTTTTGCTCATTCATTTCCTGCTACCTCAAACATTTTCCATGTCTTCATCATTGCTAAATTGATCAAGGCATCTTCACCAGGCACCTATTGTCCATTTAGCATGTGTGAACTATCTCTGTGTACTCTACCTAATTTGTGCATTATCAACTTATGATCTTTATCTGACATTTTCATTCCTTGCACTATTCTAACACCACATATGGTTCTCAGAATGTCCATTACTTCACCAATTCTTAATTTTCTCGTTCATACTATACACTGTCTGTACATAGTGTCCTGCACCAACACTTCATGCAGCTCTCATGCTGAATCTATTTCCGATATTTTTACTAGCAGCAAGAAAACCTAACCAAACCCTTGGAATAATCAAGTGTACCTTTGACGACTTTTAAGGAAGAGAAGGTAGTGATCCAAAAACTTGGATTACTGTATCCAAGCATAGATACCTCATCTTCAGAAGGACATAGCTGCTTTAGAGAAAGTGTAACACCGAGCCACAAAAATCATTCCAGAGTTAAGTCATCGCTCATATCAGGAATGATTGAGGACCACAAACTTGTAAAACTTGTAAAATTAAACTTGTAAAATATTGAAGAAGTTGGAGGGTGTTGATCAGGAAAATGTCGTCAAAAGGTCAGATGTAACACGAACAAGAAACAACTGTTACAGGTTCAACAAGCCACAGTGTAGGAGTGAGAACAGATGCTTTTACACCCACAGGGTTATAAACCTATGGAACCGCCTACCCGCCGAATCCGTAGATGCCAAAACTTAAAATTTAAAATCAAGCTGGAAAAGATCAGGGCAAATAGGGGGACTTTTGACAAGGCGCCGGCTTCCTGTCCTCGTTAACCTTTGGAGAAAAGTCAACATCATGCTACAAAAATCATCCCAAAACTAATTTACCTCTCATGCCAACAACGGTTTAGGGCCACAGGATTAATAACACTCCAAACCCGACAGGGCTGATCTCATTTTTTTTATTTATTTTCATATTTACAAGAGTTCTTACACTTTTAAAGCCACTATAGCATGCTTTGCGTTTCGGGCAAGTCCTCAATTCTAATTTTTCCCCGGAATATGACCCGCCAAATCGTTTAACAACCAGGTACCTATTCATTGCTGGGTGAACAGAGGCTACAGTTAAAGATTGGTGCCTAATCAATCCTCCCCGGCCAGGATACTAACCCAGGCTAAAGTGCTCGCGAAGCGCCAGGCGAGAGTTTTACCACTACGCCAAGGGGGAACACGGGGACATTGAAACTTTTAAAATGTATTACCGAACAATTTGGAGGATATTGATCCAGCCCCCTGCTTTAAAAGCTCAGATGTAACTCATGCAAGAAGCAACGGGTTCAAGCTTAACAATTTACAATGTAGGACAGAAAACAGATCCTTTTTCATAGGGATTTATTCCCATGGAACCGCCTACCCGCTACAATCGTAAATGCGAAACATTGCTTCAATTCAAGTTCAGCTGGATAAATTCATTAGGACAAATGGGGGTAATCTTTGACAAGCCACTGGCTTCCTGTCCTCGTAGAGGATATTAATGAGATGGTGGCCCTCAGGTAAATTCGTGGTCGAATCAGGAATCGGCTTCAACGTTCATAAGCATATTGTTTACCTTAAAATCTTTATATTTTCTTTGAAACATTAAAGAAAGAAAACGTATATTTTGAGCGTACCTACAATTCAAATATCAAGATGTATTTGTTTAATAACTCTGTTCATGTGCAAACTAATTAAGACAATTTATAATGACAAATATTATATATTATCATAAAATACTAGAGGAGAGAGTAAAGACAGGGTAATAGAGCAGAAGAAGGTAGTAGTGCGGGAGCGGGGTGCAGACGACGGTGAGAGCCAGAAGAGAGACACGCACATACCGTGTCACGACGGTGCTGGAGGTGCGTGTCCTGCTCTGCTCCTCACCACTCCTCCAGACACCCCCCCGCGGCTCCGTGTCTCGCCAGCAGCAGTGTGGTCCACGACCCTCCAGTGAGTACTCCGGAGGTGTGACACCTGCCACAGTCACCTGTACCTGCTTATGCTCTGACTATCTTGTCATGTTTGTTTACCTTGGGATACTAGAAGGACAGGGTTCGATTCCCCGGGCAGGACGGTGGTTTTTGGGCACATTTCCTTAGTGATTGGTGATTCTTCACCTAGCAGTAAATAGGTACCTGGAAGTGGGAGTTAGGGAAGTGTTTGTGGGTTAGAGACAGCGGGTGTATGGCCCAGGGGGACCGCTGTAGGTGTAGCTTGCCGTGTCTCGGACTATAACATGCCAGTTATGTTGACAACTTTACCATAAAACACTATTGGATTGCTGATAAACTGGTAGGCTTTGGGACGGGCGACACTTTCCCCTAATATTGTCAGTATGGGAAGTTGGGCGCAGCTCGGTCAGTGAATGGGAAAAAAGATTATGGGAAGGTAATAAAGCTTTCACTTGCATTTGGTCGGCCGCATGGGCGTTATAATTATAGTCAAGGTGCTGTTATGGCACTTTGTCTACCTTGACACTGTCAGTGAGACTTGTCATGACTGAGGTGGTCACGTGGCGGGTGTGGGGCTGACACTGGTCCCTGCTGCTTGTGGCCGCTGACAACAGCCTTCATGTGCCAGCCAACATGTTGAGGAATGTGCCGAGTGGTCAGATATTCATTTTCAGAGAGTTGACAGTGAGGCAGTATGTCTCGAAACGATTATATAAACAAGACTTATAGCAATTATGGTTTACTTTGAAGTCGGTGTTAAAGGGTTGACGTTGACAAGTGACTTGCTGGGAACTCTGCGGTAATCTTGGCGAGACGTGACTCATCCCAGCTGACGAAGGAAGAGCAACATGGTGACATTTTAAAATACTATTCTGTGCCTGAACGCCATAAGCCAACTACCTACAACTGTAATGCATTTGGGCAAGTTGCCGCATCATGCCCCTGGTCCGATATTACTGTTGATGTGATGCTAAGTAAATTGGCGATTCTTAAAGATAATGTTGGTCTCCTGCAAGCTGCCTCACTGTGGTAATGAAATTAGCTTCCCGGCACTTAAAAATAACTGAGCTGGCTAGGCTTCTAAACCACCACAATTTCACAAAATATCTCCCGTGAGGGAGCCGTATAAATATCAAAAGCATTTTGGTGCGTCTTGTTCTGCAAGAGCACTGGCTAAAATCTTATGAATTTGAAAACATCGTCGAATTTGTAGATCTTTTTTTTTTTTTATATTGCCAGCATTGAAATGTCTGACAGGTCCTGGAAGACCCTAATGGCGGTATTGGTATCCTTGTGGCATAGCAACAGGCTATGTAAAAGTATCATAGTCAGTACGGTGTCAAGGTGTACTACAGTTATTGGTGGTTGGCAGTATTTAATCATTGATGATGAAAATTTAATATTCATGTAATTAGTGATGAATATTAACCAACTTTATCGCGGGATGAGAGAGGGAGTCATATGTAGTTCTCTGCTAACCAATCGACATAGTATTGGGTCATGCTAAATATTTTAAATTTATATTTTAGACATCCATTGAGAGTTCGCTTATAATGTACTCATAATTGGAAATTTGAGGTTCTTGTGCACCGACCCGGGTCATATCCTGGCGGGGAGCCTTGTCCTGTAGTACATTTACCAATTGATATATGGTCTTCCTGTGAATTACAAAACCACTGAATATTTAAACAATTATATTCCGAAAATCATAGCTGTTGCCTGGGGAACTTGACTGTAAATTGTAGGTAGCCTAATGCTTCATATCAACTCTAATCTCTAACACAATTACTCTAATTTACTCTAATCTCTTAAGAGAATCCACACATACTTGCTAGCATTTACAGAGGCTTGACAGATATGGGCAAATGTCAAGATACTAGTGAACATACTGGTTTGATAAGTGACGTATGATATCGCTGATAGATGCTGGGAGTTCATGTGGGAATTGATAACGCTCTTGATATGGGTATGAAATGACGTATTAGTAAACCTCGGTATGCATCAGTATCTGTTTAATCGTGTAAATTTATAAATTTACTCGAATAGATAAGACTAAGCGTATAGGCTGATAAATTTCGAGATTTCCCTACTTGGACGGTATAATTAGTTATATTATTGGAGAACTTCCAATCTTGCGGACTAACAGTATCATTCGAACAATATCGGAGATATTAATAATACACCAACCTTGTAGGTCTGGGCTAAAGTTAAATCTTTAGCAGTTCCAGCCATCACCATACTGTCGTGCAAGAAAAACCACATAACTATGGAGATTTTTAGCATTACGGAGCTAGCTTTTTGACAATGTACTCCCCTTCATATAGTCTAGGGTAGCTGCACAAATGTGTGTACCTAAATGTGTTAATAAAAAAATATGGATCATCGAATAAAATCGCGAGACTTTGACGTTAGTACTGCTTGGCTTAGATTTGATTCCAACTATCCCTGGGAGTTTGTATTACATGCTGATGTAGACGTGTAGTAAACTGCTCGCACACCTTTCGTCACCGTGATGGAGTGGGAAAAGTTGAATGAATTATGGACAGGTCTATAACAAGTGTCAAAAATGTGTAAATATTTAATTCAAAATAAATTGAAATTTTAGTAGAATATCTCATTTACTAGTTGTAGGTTAGTAAATGTGGTGTATTCCATTCACCGGGACTATACCACAATAATACGTAATACGTTTACATCACAATAATACACTATTGTGCTGTATTATTCGATAGGACAGGTTGGACTGTAACCTTTCCACTACCGCCCACTTGAAGAACGGGGAGGCGGGGGGGGGTGGGGAAGTGGTCTATGATAAGGAAATAAAATTATGAAGAGTTCGCCGCAAACGTAAGTTACTTAGCTCAGAGACTGTACTTACGTTGTTTCTCTAACAGTGTCGATACATACATTAAACCGTACAAGGTCCTTTTTATATGAATATTAGAAGGTACGCGAACTGTCATCCATAAGTTGGGGTGGACATTGGCGTTCTGGCGTATGGGTGTTCAGTTCCTGAACCCATTATGTGCCTCTGCTATTGCCTTCACTGTTGTAGAAAATATAATAATGGTTGAAGTAGTGGCAGCAAGCATATTGATATGCAAAAAGTTACGCTGTATTGATACACGAATTGATTAAACTCTAACTTTTATTACTGTAAATACAAATAAATGTAAGAGTTGCTATAGTTGGATATTGTTTAGGTTCGGCCAGCTGATAGGAATGTCGTTTACGATAAAGTAAATACGTCTTCTCCACATAACCATCACACAGGTGTATATGGTGTTCTTGTGTACGCGCGCACTTCCATAATCTGGTGGGTGAAACATCTCGTCTAGCTGTGTGGGTGTTCAAAGTTGAAATTCTAATGCTGATAATGTTATCTCTTGATGGATCTTATCTGTCTACTTTGCCCTTTCACTTATCTTGATGCACTCGACCCATCGTGAACTAGGAACTTGTTTACATTGATGCCAATCACGGAAAGAATCCCTTGCACGGAACCACCTGTTGGGGTCAAATGACACTTCCTGATGTTTTCAGCGCCAGATATGAATAATAAACTGTAGCGAGAGTAATAACGATGAGTCAATTCACTACCTAACAATGATTGAATTTTGTACAGCATCTTAAAGAAATTACCACCATATCATGCCGTTGACATAATCCGAACCAAGTGTAACTTGACCACCAGTACTGTACCTTTTTCATCAACTCCTTACACTAATCGTTATGTCTTGTGGGTGTGGGGGGGGGGGGGGGATTTATATCCTAAAGCAACTAACAAGTTTATTGGCCGTGTGCGTGTGTAGACTTTGATGGTAGACTCCCTGGCTGCCTTACATAACCGGTTGTCTAGCAAAGGATTTCTTGGCAGTGTCTACGGCGCTCTATTGGTCCTCTGGGCTATTCGTGGGTGGAGGGGGGGGGGTGTAGTGTGTGGAAGGAATTTAACATTTATATTCTCAATGTTCGGTAATGTTTGTCTATATGAACACGTTGTACAGAACGGGGTGAGAATAGCATGAGGTACCTCATCCCTTTGTGTGTATTTTACCTTGATAAACTTATTTCAATATTTATATTTGCACACAAGATATTTTTGGGTGCATGTGATTATCTGATTGTGACGGTCTCTAGTGACCACTGCGAGGACAAAGCCGGTGGCTTGTGCCATTGTTCCCAGGAATTTTCTTGACAGCTACTGCAGGTATGATTGGGTGGATGTATTGCTGGATGAGGGAGGAGCGTCTGGTTGTGGGTGTTAATGTGTACTCTCCGTATGACACCCTAACCGACCCCCACATAGAGAACTCGCTGTTTGTGACTCGCTACGTTTCGTGCTTCCTAGTACATAAGAACATAAGAACATAAGAACAAAGGTAACTGCAGAAGGCCTATTGGCCCATACGAGGCAGCTCCTATTCTATAACCACCCAATCCCACTCATATACTTGTCCAACCCGTGCTTGAAACAATCGAGGGACCCCACCTCCATAATGTTACGCGGCAATTGGTTCCACAAATCAACAACCCTGTTACTGAACCAGTATTTACCCAAGTCTTTCCTAAATCTAAACTTATCCAATTTATACCCATTGTTTCGTGTTCTGTCCTGTGTTGATACTTTTAATACCCTATTAATATCCCCCCGGTTATGTCCATTCATCCACTTGTAAACCTCTATCATGTCACCCCTAACTCTTCGCCTTTCCAGTGAATGCAACTTAAGCTTTGTTAATCTTTCTTCATATGAAAGATTTCTAATTTGGGGAATTAACTTAGTCATCCTACGCTGGACACGTTCAAGTGAATTTATATCCATTCTATAATATGGCGACCAAAACTGAACTGCATAATCTAAATGGGGCCTAACTAGAGCAAGATATAGCTTGAGAAGCACACCAGGTGTCTTGTTACTAACGCTGCGATTAATAAATCCAAGTGTCCGATTTGCCTTATTACGAACATTTATGCATTGATCCTTTGTTTTAAATT